ATAATGAGTCTCACAATACCATTGAGGAAATTGATCATATGGTGTCACAGAATCAGGTATCTTTGGATGGTTTTGGTACTAATGATGTTGATTTTGATCCTTTGACATGTCTTGGAGGTCCTTCAAATGTGCCAACTAGCTCAAAATCGAAAAAAATAAAGAAATCACAAGAAATTGAAAATAAAGCAATGGGCATTCAAGAAGCTATCAACAATATAGCTCGAGCTCTATCTGAAGGGAATTCACATCCTCCACTTTCAGAGGCTGAAGTTTGGAATATGTTGAAGGATTTGGGATTTAACTCAGATCAAATTACCACTGCTTATTTATATCTGCTTGAGCATCCAAATAAATTAAGAGTAGTACTAGGATGTCCACCTGGGAGACGCCTGGATATTGTTATGAGGGTTGTTTTCGGTACTTCTTAATCATTGAGTTCTTAGGCACAATCCTTATCTTTATTTTTTAAATTTGACTAATCTAATTTCTATCAATTGGAATTTATGTTTGAATAATTTTTTATGATTTAGTTTTTATTAATTATTTTATTTTGTTGTTTACTGACATCATTGAGACTATATTGTAATAAAATTATTTGCTTTTTATTTTTAGAATCATTGTTTACTGATTGCTTCATTTACTAATTTTTTGTTAAATTTTAATTTTATGTTTTTTCAACCAATAATTTTTTTCCCTTTAATTTACATTTATAAATTTTTTAACTCAAAGTTATATTATGACCTAAAAAAGACATATGTAAGATCCATGGGCTTCTCTCGTACTTGTTTGTGGTGGATAATGGAGTGATTGAATGAATTGAACAAATGATAACAAGGAGGAAAGAATATACAATCCTGTTACAAACTTAAAGGGTAAATTTGTAAACTTAAAATTAATTTAAATCATTTCCTTCATGTTACTTTAATTATCTAAACATAAAAAATACAATCTTTCCCTTCCCTTCCCCTTTCTCATTTTTATTTATCTAAACAAAATTAACACAAATCATTTCTTTCCATTTTCTTTCCTTCCCTTCTCTTTCCTTCTCCTCTCTTTCCTTTTATTTTCCTTCATCCCCCTCCCTTCCCTTCCCTTTACTATTTTCTATTCAAACGGTACTCCCCCGGAACTCGACTGAAACTTAAAAAAAGGAATAGAAAATGATCCCACTAAAGGGGTAGATGAAAAGGGCGACAATGTGTTGAAATGAACATGCTACCAGGGAAAAATTTTGCTTGTTGGATTTACATTTCATTAATATTTAAAA